GGACAGACGAGTGAATGGATGAATAGATGGATGGATGGATGGATGGATGGATGGATGGATGGATGGATGGATGGATATCGGATGGATGGATGGAAGGAAGGAAATAAGGATGAATGGATGGACAACTGGATGGATGGATGGATGGATGGATGGAAGGAAGGAAATAAGGATGAATGGATGGACAACTGGATGGATGGAAGGAAAGAAAGAAGAAAGGATGGAAGGATGGACAAGTGATGAGTGGATGGATGGATGGATGGATGGACGGAAATAAGGAAGGATGGAAGGATGAAAGGATGGATGGACAAGTGAATGAATGATGGATAGACAAACAAGTGAATGGATGGATGGATGAATGGACGAGTGGATGGATGGATGGATGGATGGATGAATGAATGGACGAGTGGATGGAAGGATGAATGGATGAACAGATGAATGGATGGACGAGTGAATGGATGAATGGACGAGTGAATGAGTGAAAGGATGAATGAATGAATGAACAAACATGCACCCAGAGACAGCCAGCTTCCGGCCCCAGCTGGCCCAGCACCCCCAAACTTGACAGTTCATCAGTTCTGGGGGCATTGCAGGGGTGCCCCTGGGTGATGGTCCTAGGTTCCTGAGTCTGTGTCCCCAGATGGGTGCCTCAGGGACGGGTGGGTGCCTGGTGTGCCTCCTGCACCCAGTGGTTGCTGCCTCCCCGCCTCTGGAGACAAGTTCCTGCTCGTGCCAGCAACCTCATTCTCCTTGAAAGAAGCCAAGGGAGCATTTCCTTGAGGCCGAGGGCAGGGCTGGGTGGATGCGGGAGCCCGTACTGGTGGGCTCTTGGCTCTGGGGTACCAGAGTAGGAACCGATGTCTCAGTCTCAGCCACATGTCAGACACCTCAGTAGTGTCAGCAGCCAACCCGGTGGGCCCCAACCTCTGCACGCCAACTCCCACTGGCCCCTACATGTCCTCCTTAGCAGGGGCTGGCCTCAAGCATATCACAGAGATACAGCAGAAAGAGCCCAGGCCCCTCAAGACGCAGAGAGCACCCCAACTCTCCTCTAGGAGCTCCACAGATACCCCCCACCTCCACAGAATGCTGAGTTAACCTTGGGGAAGCCCCTGCTCTCTCCCCTGGGGTAGGCATCCAGGTCCAAGGCTGGCCCACCTGCAGGACGCCCCCAGAAGAGGTGCAGTCAGGATGATGGGAAATGGTGTGAAGGTCTCCTGGGGACGATGCTTAGAGAGCCCGGGTGAGGCCCCTTGGGGAGGGGTGGACCCAAGCAGAGCCTCCTTGGGCAGCTGCCCACCCTGAGCCTGGGGGGGACCCCAAGAGGGCAGGAGCACTCTTGGTTCCTGTCTGCCCTGTAGGTCAGAATGACAGGACACAGAAGGCCTGGTTGGGCCAGAGGGGGTAGGAGGGGATCAGACGCCAGTAGTGCAGAACAGGACAGCCCTCGGAGGGACTGCCCACTGCCCACATGCACAAGGCCCGACAATGAATACTCCCCATATTTGGGCTGCTCTAGGACCTGGTGGGGACAGCGCTGCTTGATTTGGCAGACACTGCACGCCCATCATCTAAGGGCTCTCCTGGGAGAGGGATGGATGCTGCCAGCACCTGAGTGTCAAGGCCACCTACTGGCATACATTCCCAGGCCTCCGTACTGGGGAAAGAGGCAGAGAGGGTCCAGGAAGCCCCTGCCACCAAGAGGAATCTTCAGAGTGGAGGGCTCAGCTCCTGGGGAGGGGCACAGTCAAGTCCAGAGACCACCTGCTCCAACTCCTCCTCCATCCCCCATGGGCTGAGAGACCCCATGCACAGCAGCAGATGAACTTCAAAGTCCAACGACACCCTTGTATGTGTGGTGGGGGCCCTGGGGTGCAGTGAGGTCAGGCAACCTGTGGTCCCAGCTTCCAGCTGGACAATGCCACCTCCACAGGCTGCCGGAGGCTCAGCCTCTCACTTCTTGTAGTTGGGGTGAGAATCCTAGGGTACCCCCACCCCCTCAAGACCTCACAAACATCCCAACTGATCAGCCTGGCTTGCTGCAGGGTCCCCAGCCAGGACAGGGAGGTAAGTAAGCCCCACTGGGCTCAAGACCATGGCCCCACCCACACTGTAGACAACCCCGCTCCTCACCCTCCCTGCCCCACCTCCCCTTCCCTCCAACTGCTCTCCTCCCCGCTGTCCAACCTCTAGTCCCTATGGACTGGGTGACCCTGACCATGGTAGAGGCTGAGGTGGGGCCACTGCCACCCCGTGATGTCACCCCATGATGTTATCGGAAGGAGCCTGGAGGCAGAGCAGCTGGAACAAGCCTCCGTTTGTGGTCAGAGGCCTGCTCGAGAGGAACTTTATAAATAGCCATCGTCCGGGGCAGGTTCAGGGCAGGCATCGGGCTTCCCAGGTCACAGCCCCCAGTGGACAAAGCAGGTCCATTGAGCCCACCAGCCCACTGCCCTGCCAGGCCAAGGGGGGCTGGCGCAGGGGAACCCAAGGGGGACAGTGGGGTAAGGTTCCCTACACACTACCTCCACCCTCACCCCTGGCATGAGGAGAGTCCCTGGGCTCTGTGGATGACAGCACCCTGTAAGGGCACAGACCCCACCCACCCAGAGGAGCAAAGTACAAGAGCCCCTTCCAGAACCCCCCGAGCTGGCCCAGGGGTGGCCAAGCTGCTGCCCAGGCTCCCTTGTGTCCATCCATCTGTGCCAGGGGCAGACAGCGGCCGGGATCAGCATGCACACTGGTGCCCACCCAGTCCAGGTCAGGGGCATGTGGTGGCCCCGGGGTCGCCAGGCCTAGCTCCCTTGGCCCCACCCGAGAGTCTCTGGTCAGCGGGGAGCTGACCGCTGGCACCCCCAGGTCTCCGTCTCAAAAAGAGGGCTGGCTCCGTGTCTTTCACCCTGGCGCATACGGGCCAGGCAGGGGCACAGATGCCCAAGGAAGCCCGGAGGGCCAAGAGTCAGGGTCTAGGAACAGCATCAGACTAAGGTTGTCACAGCTCAGCCCCAACCCCTGGACCTCTGGGCCAGAAGCAGGAGGAAGGGGGACAGAGCTTCGAGGTCATGGCCAGGGCAGGAAGGATGGCAGGACATGCAGCCTACGCTCCGTCTGAGCCCCCTCCCCTCCACAGCCACGTCCCCCGAGGCCAGCGGTCTACTGTGAGCACACCCGGGGCTCTGGGTCCAAAGGCAGACAGGCTCAGAAATGCAGGGAATGCAGGCCAGCCACAGCAAAGGCTTCGTCCCGTGTGGGCGGGGACACTGGACACGCTGCAGCCACCTCAAAGGCCAGGCGCCCACAGACCACAGCCTCCACCAGCCACACTCAGAACCGGTGGCTGGCTCGCACTGGTTCTTTCCTGCCCTGCCCAGGGGTGTCCTTACCTGCAGTGGAGGGAGGAACAAGGAAGGGATTATGGGAGGAAGAAAGGACGTCCGGAAGATGCCCTGGACATAGCGCTCCGGACAGGGCTGCAGCCTGGCACGTGGAGGGGGTTTGGCTCCTGGGGAAACCTCATGCTCCCCGCACCTACCGCCCCCAAATCAGACCTTCACCTGCAGCTGGCAGCATGTTTGTCCCCGACCCCTAACAGCAGCCACATTCACACCCAAACCGGAACCCCTCAGGGTCATCGAGCAGGCTCGGGCTCACAGCCGCCCTGTGGGGCAGAGCAGGGCAGAGCCAACCTGTGGGTTTCCAAGGCTATCTTCACAGGGACACAGGCCTCATCTCTCTCCCTCAGGGCAGCTGGCAAGCTCAAACTGCCAACCTTCTGGTGACAGGACCCATTTGCAAGCACCATTGTGACCCACTACCCCACCTCCTGCTCATGTGTAGACCAAGCTGATCATACCTGGAAACAGGAAGGCAGCTCCCAGGCACAAAGTCCCTGGATGGATGGCAGCAGCCAGATCCATGGGACACTGCAAGACCAAGGCAGGGAGGACCCCGGGCGAGGCAGTGGGCAAGTCGCCAACTGGGCCTGCTGCTCCCACCCAGCCAGCTTATTGCTGGCCTGAAACTCTCCAACCACCACCGTGGGCTGGAGACAGAGGCAGCTAGAGGCCTGGGGCCCCTCCCAGGAGGGCCTGGGATCCCTGGGGCAGGCCCAGCATTCCTCAGGCATGAAGTCCTAGCCCAGAAGGTTCTAACCCAGCCATCACCCCATGGGCGGGGGTGGGGCTGGACTAGGGGTGGAGGGGAACAACTGCCCAGGCTTCTGCAGCCTGTTTTGCTTGGGGTTTTCCGTGTCTGTGGGTCCTTAAAAAGACACTAAGTTCTTGGGTATAGGAAAGTGTTAATATTCCATAAAACTCAAACATGATCTTGACAAAGAATCCATGAACACCACACACATACACACACACACCTCTGTCCAACACACACAAAAAGCAGAGCTTCTCACCCAAAATGAACCACAATCCAGGTACAAACAGGAGCTCATCCTCCAAGCCGGGCTCGGGAGACGACATACCCTGAGTATCCTGGGGGTCACCTGTCACCCAGGAAATGGGCCTCGTCCACCCTGACCCACAGTGGAACCAAACGCCCCCTCCTCCCAATTGGGTTCCCCACAGAGCCCCAGACCTTTCTCCCTAGTCTCTCAGAATGCTCCGCTGAAACCCGCCCTGCGTCTCGTCATGCCTCCTTTCCAGGCATAGGCGGTGGCTGCACCCAAGTGACCAGGACTGGAACCTGGTTCCTGGTGCCACCATGGATTAGGCATTCTGGGCTACTAATCATAAGGCCAGCGGTTCAAACCACACTGCTGTTCCAAGAGAGAAAGATGAGGCTTTCTGCTTCCCTACAGGCTCGTCAACCCTACACAAGTGGCTGAGGGCCAGAACGACGCTGTGGCATTTGGTTTGGGTTTGGTTGGGTCCCCCCAGCCCCCACCCCCACCCCCACCCCTGGAGGCAGGGACTGGGCCCCTTCTCACTGCTGGCCCGTGCCCGGCCCTGAAGGGGCTGAGCCGGAGGACACATGGAGGCAGACACAGGTGGGAGCAGTGCATAGGTAGGTAGACCATGTTTATTGAGCACATCTCAAGCCATTCGCCTGCATTCTGCTGGGAACAAAAGTACCGCCCACCTCTGACACCTTGTGGGTCACCGGGTCCACATCATCGTCCGAGAGACAATTAAAAAAAGAGAGAGAGAGCGAGGCAAGGAGTAAAAAGGAAAAAGCTTAATAATCACTTTATGGTGTAAAAAACAAAACACAACAAAAATCCACTAAGGCTCCCAAGGTTTCTGCACAGCCTGAAAGCGCTGCACCCGAGCGAGGTGGGGTTTCGGCGTCGGCGTGGTATTTCCGGGTACATTCCCAGCTCTGCATGCCCCGGCGGCACCGCCTGCCTGCCCACCAGTGCACCCGCAGGGAGTCATCCAGGAGGCAGGTTCCTTCTTCAGCGGCGGTGGCCAGGAGCACCTCGACACACACACCCAGTCCTCTGGCGGCTGCAACACCCACCGCACCCCACCGTGCCGGGGGTCCTCTCGCCGGCTGGCCCCATGGGCATCCGTCCCCTTGTGGGCCACTGCGCGGTGGTCCGTTCTTTCCCGCTCTCTCTCTCCTGGACAAGGAAGCCTGTGACTGTTCCCCGAGTGCTACAATACTTGCTTTGATGTGACGTTAGACAAATGTGCACTGTCTCTTTGTTCCCCAGGGTCCTCGGAGACGGTCTGCCGCGTGGAGGAGAACAAAGGCCCCACGCTGGCAACAGCACCATACACGGTGGGTCAGGAATGTAACACGCCACGGGCACCCGTGTCCCGCCCGGGGAAGGCCGGGGCTGCTCCTCACCTCACATCTGCAGAGGAAGGAGAGACAGGCGCTCAGCTTGGCCCCGGCACAGACGGCCAGCAGGGGCAAGGCTCGGGCGGCTCAGGACATAGGGTGGATCCAGTCGGCCCAGGGGCAATCATTCCTGCCAGGGTAGGGGCTCACTCCCGGAATGGAACTCGGGCTGAGGGCAAGCCCTATCCTCCCATCGTACAGATGAAGACACTGAGGCCGGACGGCTTTCCCCTCTCACTCCCTCAAGCGCAGAGTGCAGTGTGATGTCTGGGCTGGAGCAGCCTCGCGGGGCCCTGAGGCAGCACAAAGACTGGTCCACAGCCCTGGCCAGAAGGGGCTCTGTGGGCAGGCAGGGCTGGGCACCTTCTCTGAGCAAGGGCAGCCTCACAGGTCCAATGTCTCTTGCTGACCTGGGTGCCACCTGTCTGTTCAGAATCTAAAGGCTACCCAGACTGGAGGAGCTCACTCTACCTCTGGACCATCAGCCACGCGAAGGGTAGAAGCTGCCGCTCTGTGAGAACGGGTCCACCCTCGGGGCCCCTGCAAGTGGACACTGGGCCCCCAGAGAACCCCCAATGATTGGGCCTGGCCCTCTAGCCCCAAACCCTCCCTGACTCTCGGCGCCTCCAAACCCCCCTTTCACCCCTGAGGAGCTGGGCTCTCAGACAGTTTCCGGCTCAAGGGCCTCTTCTCACTAGTTTTGGGATTTTTTAGATACCACGGATTCCCAGGGGCCTGGAGACCACCGCTGGTGGGTCAGGAGGCAGCAGCGAGGACTGAGAAGGTCCAAGCTAACCTCCCTGGGTTACCTGTGGTCACTCCGAGCTGACTGACTGCTGAGGTCCACCTCTCCCCTGAGAACCCAGCGCAAGAGCTGACCACTGAGTGAAGAGCTGCGCCACTGGGCAGGACTTGTGGGGACGCTCTGAGGGCCTTAGTTCTTGTCCTCATTTCCCGCTTTCTTCCAGCCCAGAGCCTGGGCATGACAGCCGAGGGCAGCGAGGCGCCGGAGGTTGATTCACGGCCACAAGGGAATATGGAGGCCTGGGCCCATGAAGAGCTCACGTCTACCCAATCAGAGCTGTTTGGGATTGTTCGGGGTGCTATTGGCAGCCCAGGGCACCCTGGCGGCATTCATAGGTTCATGCTGGGCTGCTGACTGCAAGGTCCGACAGTTCAAACCGACAAGGAAAGATGAGCCAACTGTCCTCTCCTGTAAGAGTTGACAGCCTTGGAAACCCACAGGGGCAGTTCTATTGGACCCTACAGGGTAACTGAGTCACACTGAGGGGAGGGCTGTGAATTAGGAGTTGGGTGCTATTAAGTAGAATGCTGTCAGCTACAGTGTGACCCACAGCTCCACCCTGTCC